TGTAAGAATGGGGTTAAAATTGGTTTAGGATATTTGTAGACCGTTTAACTGGGTTTTAAAAGGGATCAGAACGTGTTTAGCATGGAATAAAATGGGTTTTAGAAGGGGTTTGGAGTTGGTTATGAGGTATAAAAATAGAAAAGGGAAGATTTATATGAGTAAGAGGTGGGTCAGAAAGGTTTTAGAGTGAATAAGAATGGATTTAGAACTGGTTATAATTTGTTTAGGTGGGGATACTTAACATGTTTAGTACAAATTAATCAATTAATGTGTGTAAATGAGACCAGTGGTGAATGAAATTTGGTTAAAACATCACCATGGCAACGTAAACAAGACACCAGCCGCCACTTATATCTATATATCCTTTCTATTCATTATCTGGGTCTGTAGGTCAGACCCCCCACGCGCCACCTGCTGCTCAGGTGACAGCCAAGTGCATGCTGGGAGAGCTGACAGGGGGTTTGCAGAGTCAGCTCGCTGTCTATCAACTGTCTGCTGACCTCCTTCACAGCAGGGGCTCCCTTCTCCCACGGTCTGGACTTTCTAGGTCTTCAATAAAGCTAGGCTAGCAGTTTCCCTCAGCTTCCAGTCTTTGTGCTAAGCTAGGCTAAACACCCCCTGGATGCAAAATGATTTAATGTGTAGAGGCACAGTGTTAAATCAAATAATCAAAGGTACAAAATATCCTACAAAGTTAAAGATTAAGCTTTACACAGCTGGAAAGGAGTAGCAGAGAGGAAGTGAACACACTGTCAGTGGAGGCAGAGACGTTTGGGATAATTACAGTCGGCAGTCGCCCCCTCCAACATACATAAATATAAAAGTTATTCAGTGTCAAAACACAAGTCTGAAATTGGTTATGACACAGAAATAACTCGAATGTACCGCTTTCTGTCTGACGTCCACAGTGTGGATGTGACAGTGCTGCGTGGAGGCGTTCACTAAACGACACCCAGCAGCATATTAATGATTTAATTACTCAAACTGTATGATTTATTTCAGTGCAATCAGAAGAAATGCATATTTTAAAGGTCCAGTGTGTCGGATTCAGTGGCATCTGGTTTCATTATCCACTTCCAAACGGTCTACAACCAGTGTTTGGTCAGTCAGATACAAAAACCTGGGATCTGTAAGCTTCAGCCTCAGTCTGTGAGCATGATAAAACCCGGGATCTGTTAGCTTTTACTTGGTTTATTGTTGAAGCTGCTGACAGGCCAGCCCCATCTAGCTGTATATTATATATTATAACCTTTATTTTAACTGCATTTTCCACACACAACTGTATCTCCTGGACAGATTTACTGGCAGCAGCAGTTAAAACATCCCCTTCTGAGTTCTTTGAGGTAAAATACTGTTAGTGTATGAATTTACGGTTTACAATAAATGTCATGTAGCGGGTTTCTAGCAGCTTTAACAGCTGCTCATTATAAAGTATATAGTATGTACAAACAACTTGTGTTGTGAGTGAAGGTGGTTTGACATTTGTACAGTAAGTGGATATTAATTTGGACCCATAATCCCTTGCAGCAAGTCACACTCTATCAGGTTACCAGTGTGTGTGTGTGCGTGTGCGCGTCCTTCATGATCTCCTGCTGAGCTCTGTGCTACATCCAGTTTTAAATAGACACACACACACAAACACACACACAAACACACACACACAGGTCTGGAGTTGTTTCCAGGCGTTGAATCTCATTTGTTTGACATCAGAGCTGCAGCAGAAGGCGTCACAGGGTGAAACCTCCGGCCTCCGACTCTGGAAAAAGCCCAAACAGAAGAGGATCCCGAGTCCAGATTAACCTCCATCGCCACGTCACCGTACACCGGCTCCGAGACGTTAACTGACTCAGCAACTTCTGAGTGTAAATCACATTAATGATGGAGGTTTATCTGACAGACTGTACAGAAACACTGAAATATGAAACATTTTAAAGCTGTGTAAAATGTGATATTTAAGAGGTTTTAGAAGTTATGACAGCCGAAGAGCTAATAGAGCGTCAGGGAGAAGAAAACACTTAAACAATTAAAATAAATACATAATACAGACAGATAATTGTATAAAAAGTTCATCTCTGATCAATATTCAGGAAATAATCTGCTTAAATCATCCAAATCTCTTATTTTACACAATCTCTGGAGTTATTGTGTTCACTGTTTACAGTTTATCAGCTGTTCTCTCTTATTGTCTCATTGAATATAAAAGATATTATATATGATAGAAAAAAGGTCCCTTAAGGTCAAAGGTTGGAAATCAGTAGCTTTAATCAATGGACACAATCGGCCTTTATTGGGGACAGATTGGGAATCTGAGAGCTCAGATGGTTTTGTAAAATAGCTGCTTGTTGTTAAAATATCTGTATTTGAGTGATCAGATGAGATGAATCGATCAGAGCCGCAGACGCTCACTGACGGCCCGGCATTGGTCAAAAACTCTGGAGCCTACATTTCCCATAATTCAACTCAATAGCATCTTTCAAACTCCACTTTTTAACACAGATAATCAGGGTTTGGGATCAAACATGACGAGTAAACTAGACTTTATGTGCACATAATTCAATCTAATTACTTTTTACTTGGTGCTTTCCTCTGAGTAACCAGCTGGACTGCTGCATTGTGGGTAGAATCCGCCCGACCACCTGCCCTCGAGCCAGGCAGCAGCTGCTCTGAGCAGTTAGCCCCGTTAGCTTCTTGCTAGCGTCTATAATTAGCTGCTGTGTCCTTCCTGCTAATCTCCCTGCTGCCTAATATGGAACACAGCTGCTCCAATCACATGGCTGCTCCTCGTTACCATGGCGAATTAATTATCTGTGTGTGTGTGAAGAGAGAGAGAGAGGGAGAGGGGAGAGAGAGAGAGAGAGAGAGGGAGAGAGAGAGAGAGAGAGAGAGAGAGAGAGAGAGAGAGAGAGAGAGAGAGAATGTGTGGATGACAAACTGTGAAATTCGCAAAGAAACTTATTTAGTTTTTGTAAAATGTTCAGTTGGAGATTAAAATATAATTTAGTTAATTAAATGATTGATTGATCAACTGAGAATTGATCTGCAGCTATTTTGTTAATTGATTAAATGAACATTATAATATTTTACTGCTACCAGAGAACAATATATAAATCTGTTTGTTGTTATTAAACAAAAAACGTTTTTCTATTTTACAAAATGTTTTTTATCATTAATCTTTTTTTTTTTTAAAAGTAAAATATAACTAAAGGAAGTCATGTGGTTTGTTAATTTTAAACCAAAAACTAAATCACATGTTTTTTGTTTTCAAACAAAAACAAACTGGGTAAAGGCAGTAGAACATTTCAAAATAAAAGCACAGGAACTAGCACTACAATTAGACAGATTGATAAAGAGATGGAGTTCAGTTAGACACATTACTGCTTTGTGAAATGCTAATGTTCACTACTCATCATGAACGTCGTTAGTTTTCAGGTATTTGCTCATAAATCAAAGTTAAAGTCCAGGTGAAATTAAAAATGTCATTTTAACCTTTTAAGATTATATCCTCGGTTGTATCGTTCCCCTGTCTAATATTGTCTGACAAAATATTTATAAAACCTCCAGTTCTTTGTATTTTTCAAATGTGGTCAAAAATGTCATTTATTTTGTTTTATTTTTTATTTTTTACTGAACAACTCTTACATCCTGTGTGTGTGTGTGTGTGTGTGTGTGTGTGTGTGTGTGTGTACTAATCTTTAAACACTGCTATTAACGTTGCCCTGCTACTACTGGTTGTCACGACAACGCGCCCTTGCCGTTTCCTGGCTCCTCGACTTGAAGCCGTGATGTCACATCCTCCTCCTCCTCGGCAACGCTGCATTCATTAGCACCTGTGTGAGCCTGCGTTGTCATGGTAACCGCTGTCTAATTCAGGATCCCCCTCTCTCTCTGTGTGTGTGTGTGTGTGTGTGTGTGTGTGTTTCTACCTGGGATACAAGAGGAAGAGAAGCATCTCCAAGAAGTTATTAAAATGTTCGTGCCACCTCCTCGTGTGATATTTGGAAAAATGGTTAATTATATATATATTTTTAAATGTTTGTTTTCATCCGGCTCGAAGAGAAACCGTCTCCGGTATCAGTATTAGCATCAGTTACCAGCTAACTATCATTTTAGCATAATTATTACGACAAAATTAGGAGAAATTAACTTATTTTCATCCTGTTCTAATCTTTACATTACCTTTACTTTGTTGGTTGTTAGCATACGGAAGGAACGGAAGGATGTTTTGTTTTTTTTAGCTTGGTCCCGACATAAACTGCATTTTATATTTTATAACTTGTTGGAAAGACAAAGTACAGCGATGTCAGTTAGCTATGTAACCTAACGTAACATTTCTAGGTAACGCAGCAACAGAATAATAGACGCAGGTCTCTTTTAAAAGCCTGGTGTGGCTACACGTTTTAACAAATGAACGCAGGTCTCCAATAGAGGCCTGGTCTGGATTTTAGAAAAATTATCTCGATGTATAAAACCTCTTAAAACCCACCGGGTCGCCCGCTTGAGAGAGTTTTAAGTTGTTTTGATCTCCTACACAAATATAAATGTTTAAACTTCTGTCAATATGTACATAATGAACATCATTAGATCAGTTATAGATTCTCCACAATTCAATCGTTCAATATATTTTACGAAAACTATCAACACCAAAGTTTAACGTTAATTCATTCTGACTTACCGGTAAACAAGAGACAGAAAAAAACCTCTGAAGCATCATAATCATCATGTTAGTTGTCAAATTTGGTGAACAAACCTCAAGAGAAGCAGCAGTTAGAGTTTAGTTTAGTTTAGTAAAGGAATTAAAGGCCTGTCCCCAATAAAGGCCTGTCCCCAATAAAGGCAGGGGGAGTTCAGTGATTTAAGCAAATAAAGGCCCGGGCTATTATTAGAAGTTTTACGGTATGTGATTAAAATAGATTTTTGATCACATTTTGAGATCATTTTAAGTCAACCTGCCCCCGTACACATTTATATTTCACACTAACTGAAAGAACAATACATAAACATGAACAATAAAATTGTTTTATTAATAATAATAATAATTTTTTTCACCACAATAAAATTTAACAAAGGCTCACTAGAAAAAGTGTCGACTTCTGTGTTCTGTACAGTACGTTGTAAAACTGGCCGCGGCGTGGCACAGCAGCGCATTCAACCCCAAAAAAAAAAATTCTTCAAACATTTTTCCACATTATTTACAGATAAAATCCACAATAAAACCCAGCTGGCAAACGTCACAGAAATACAGCGCAGCTTCACGCTAACAGCGGCTAACCTCTGGCTGCAGAGACCTCCCGATAGAAGCTAAATGGCTAACGAGCTAGCAGTCCAACTGGCTAGTTAGCCTCCAGCTGCTTTCACACATGAGCAGAAAAATAATCGTATTTTTTCCGAATGCTACCAAGAGGTCAGTTAAACCAGACCGCAGCCGGTTTATAAAAACCTGTTTAAAAAAAGAAAACACTATCACATGTTCGCCTCCGTATTGTCTGAAAGGCAGCTGCTGCTTTTCCTCCGATTGCCTCCATATTCACTTACTTTTTGCTTTCTGTCCTACTTTCTCTGGTCGGTAGATTCGGTAACTCTGTGACCAACAGATTCTAGTTTTAAAATGAGAAAACCAAAACATTGGGAAACACGCCGTTTATAAAGAACGGAACAAATTTAGTTTTTATTTTCAAAACAAAACAATGGAAAACAGGTCATTTGAAGGATAATTTTTCGGTTTAATTTTTTTCGAAATAAAAATTCAGATTTATTTTTTCGAAATAAAAATTCAGATTTATTTTTTCAAAATAAAATTCAGTTTTATTTTTCAAAATAAAATTCAGTTTTATTTTTCAAAATAAAATTCAGTTTTATTTTTCAAAATAAAATTCAGTTTTATTTTTCAAAATAAAATTCAGTTTTATGTGTTCGTTTTCCATTTTTCTTACAAAACAAAACAAAACACAGAAAACGTGTTGTTTTTTTATTTAGAAAACAAACAAAAAAAACTACCCGTTTTTGTCAGTTTTTTTGTTTTCAAAATAAAAAAATATGTAATACGTTTTAAATTTTTTGGGTTTTCATAATAGAAACATTGACGATAATTTTTTGTAATTTTTTCATTTTCCATTTTACTTACAAAACCAATAAACTACTTGTTTTTATTTCGTTTTCTCATTTCAAAATAAAATGTGTTGGCCGCAGAGACACGCTGACCTTCTACCTTCCTGTTTGAGCAGCTAGCTCTCGGCTAGCTCTCAGCTAGCTTTGTAAAGGAATGCACTTTGGTAGATTCAACCAAATGCCCTGGGTGTTAGTCACAACAATGACAACAGTAATAATCATAATAATAATAATAATGATAACTGAGCAGTCTGAGGTACCAACATGAAAAAAAAAACGCATTAAAAACCACATTAACGCTAATGCTAACAGCTCACGGTAGCGCCTCTGTGAGCGGCTCACCGCGACTGTAGCTAGCAGATACAAACGTGCTAGGTGCTACTAGCAGTCAGTTAGCAGTAGGCTAGTGTTAGCTTCACCGTAGAGAAAACGTCAGTGCAGCAGCTAGCGGCTGGACGCTAGCGGTCGATCGGCTAGTGTTAGCTTCGCCCTGCCGTCAGCAGGTGTCGCCCGTCTGTCCCGAGGCGACGAGTGGCGACAGTTGGCTGATATGTGTCTGTACATTGTGCAGCCATGTTATACAACCCCCCCCTACACACACACACACACACACACACACACACACACGCACACGTAGATGTCAGTGTTAATCAGTTTAAAGCTACAATCTGTCGTTGGTGCGTTGGCCTACTCTGATGGCTCTGTAAACACTACGGAAGCCCATTTCTGCCCAAAAAAAGAAGAATAAATAAAAAGGATTTGGCTTAAAATATTACCCCCCCTTTATACTATTATATACTATACTACGATCCTGTTTTTAAAACGTATATGACAACTATTGAGAACTTAAATTTAAAAAATGTGGCTGTTTTTTCTTGTTTTCTTTTCTTTTTTGTACAATTTAATACATTTTTATATTATTTATATCACATGGCTGCAAGTTTTATAATGAAATGTTTGGTATACTCAGTATAGTTCATGTACTGAATGTCTTTTTTCTCAATAAAGTTTACAAAAAAAAACTGAAAATGGAAAAAAAAGTCACATTTTTAGAGATTGTGGACCCAAAATTACAAGATATTAATTCATAGTTGTGTTTTTAAAGTTACAATTACACAAAATTGTACAATAGGAAGTATAGAATTTGACGTATTTTGACTTTTCTTTTCCTGGCAGGAACGGGCTTCCATAACACACACTTAATGCTGCATTCAAGACAACTGGGACAATCCAGCCTCAGAGAACCAAACGTTGTTCTACGAGTCCACTCAGTCTGGATCTAAACGGGATTATCCGGTTCGTACAACGGCCGCTCGTCTGTTCATAATCCATCAACATAAAACGAAGCGTTGGCACAGTCTCAACCAACATTCGGGTCCCGTCTCTCTGCTTTTTAATTTAAAACTTTATAAATGTAACGTTCAGTGTCTTAGAGGTTTAAACAGAGCCAGTGTAAAGTCATTATGTGGCTTTATCTGAGCCTCTGAAGGTGTTTTTAATCAATTAATCAATTATCATTGATCATCCACAAACTGGGGTTCTCGGCTCTACGTGGCTGAAGGTTGAGTGTCTGAAAGGGGGAGGGGCTGTGAGGTCAGAGGTCACGGGGGTTGACATGGCGTCTTTGGGCTTTGCTGAGACAAACCGGGAGCCAATCAGCACGCAGACTTTGGCCGCCAAAACTCACCTGAGTCTCTATGACATCACTGCGAGTTGCACCAAAAACATACTTTCTACATTTGTTATACATAAGAGATTGTTGCCATGACATCGCCGCTGTTGGTGTGTGTGTGTGTGTGTGTGTGTGTGTGTGTGTGTGTGTGTGTGTGTGTGTGTGTGTTGGGTGGGCGTGGCATGGCGATGAGATACTGAAGGCACAAAGTTACGACTCTCAGCACTCGTCTCACTAAAAAAAATTAAAAAATTAAAAAACACAACCAACCAACCAATCAAATCTTTAGAAAACAAACAGAAAAAACATCAGAGTCCCCCCCCCCCCACACACACACACACTTTCTCCTCCTCCTTCAGGAACTTCCTGTGTCCTGTCCAGGAGGGAGAGGGGGGCGGAGCTTCCCCTGAGATGGGCGGAGCAGGTAGTGTCCTCGTGTTTATATCAGTTCCTTTTGTGCATCACGTCGTTGTCGTCCACTTCCCCCCCTACCCCCCACGTGCTACATTACATCACGGTTGCCAGGCCGACGGCGCAAACGACCTCCTCATCCTCCTCTTCCTCTTCGCACCAGTATGACTCCACAAACTACAGAGTGCGTTCAGATACAGTCGTGTGTGTAGATATGTGTGTGTTTGTGTTTGTGTGTGAGGGAACAAGCTTTAAGAAAACCTCTCGTAACGTCGACATTACACACACACACACACACACACACACACACACACACACACACACACACACACACACACACACACACACACACACATTCAAGTATACGGTATGAACTGCACATCATAGTTAATATGTAGATTAGATTAATAAATAGTAATTAAACTGTAGTAAATAAATAAGAAGCATCTTCAAACACCCCGTCCCTCCCCTCCCCGATCACATTGATAGATCCACTGATCAATACTGACCTTTGATCAATCAGTTCAGACTGATTACAGAGTTACTGTTTTTTAAATTTTTTTTATATGTTTTGGATCTTTAAATTTCTTTTCATTCTCCTACCGAGTCGCCGTTTAATCACACACTTTGTACTAGAACCTATAAATCAATATTGTCCGATCGCGTCGGGCCCAGTCACACCAGTCTGGAGTCTTACCCAGAATGCAATGCAAAGGATATTTTAACTTTTACAAGAACATTAAATTTGTTTTTAAAAGTCTGTAATGTAAAATATTATGTATAGTTTCTTATTATTTCATATTAGCTTTAATTTATCGTTTTACTGCAACAATAACTTGAAATATTGTAAACATAATAAACCGTGTTGATAAATTGGGTTTTCATCCAGGTAAAATCAATCCGGTGAATTCTCTAATCTCCTACTGTGATCACCAGATTCTTGAGTTTCGCCTTCATTAACTCAGATTACTGCGGAAGCCCGTATTAACCTGGTTACTTAATTCACGTAAACGCTCTGATAACCAGATTTCAGACTTACGAGTTCAGCTAACCTTCACGTCTTTGAACTGTGAGAGAGAAAGAGACCTCCTGCTGCCAGGAGGCGCTGATTTCTAATAAAACCTGAGTGGAAACGTTCCAAAAAGCAGCGAACAGTGATTAAAAGACAGAGTCACATGGTGTCTCTCTCCCTCTGCCTGTGTTGTATCGCAGCCTCTCTGTGGTTTGTTTCCACAGCCGGTCTGCTCCGACTGAAACTGCTGTTTTTATCATCTACGTCGGTGAATTAAGGATTTATTTCCACCAAACCAGAGTTGGTGATTGTTGGAAACACTAACAGAGACGCTTTTAATGAGTTTGATTCTGTTTCTGTCCACTTTAAATGAAGTTATGATGTTATGAGAGGTAAAATTACCTCTTTCTCCTCAGCAGTGGTGGGGAGCGATATAATGGCTGATTCTGGTTAGTGGACCGACGTTGACGGGCACAGTTAGCTTCCGTCGCAGCCTTTGCAAGTGAATTTCGAATATAAAGCCTTTAAGTTATTGTTGTTTGATCCCATAGTGGAATTTAGTCAGTGACAGTTAAGCGAACATATATGTTTTTGACGGCAGAGGAAACCTGCAAACTCCACAGCTGTTAATCCCAAGAGCTTTAACCACTGAGCCACCGTGCTGCCATACATCATCTGATTGCACCTTCTTCTTTTTCTGCAAAAGGTTTAATGACCCCAGACTGGAGAATCGGCGCCACCTACTGTTAAAATCTGCATTACATTTGGATGGAAACCTGCCACTAACCATCTCAAGAGACACATGAAAACACCCACACTGATGTGACTGGAGCCCCTTTTTAATGACGCTATTATTCTCGTTTTGTTTTAAATTTAAACCCTGAAATTAAAACCCGGAACTCTCTTCCATCTGAGACCGTCACATGTTAACACCGTGTTAGCTCCAGAGTGATTCTGTGTGACAGTAGATTTTAAAATATGCCGCTCACGAGGCTTTTTGTTCCAGATCTTGGGAGAGACTCCACGATGTGTTCAGTTGGTACAGATATTTAAATATTGTTCTCATTATTATATTTCTATACAACCAGCTGACCGTCTGCAGACTCCACGGTAACAGGCTCACATTTCTCTGGTACCTTCAGGCTATTGCTGAGGTCGGGTTACATACGAGTTTAAGAACGGTCATTAAACATCTTCACTGCTCAGACACACAGACTCCAAATAGACGGTTTTTAAAATCAATTATTTAAAGCTAATACGTCGCCTATTTTTTTTTTTTTTTTTACAGCCATCCAAACAAACACTGCTCTGTGCCGTGAGATGTTTCGCCGCCATGTGACTTCTGTGTGTCTGGAAGTCTTTCCCTGAAGCCTGGAATTTTACTAGCACGCTAAAAATTCATTTTCCACTTCATTTTTTTTTTTCTTGTCAATTTACAAGTCATAAAAGTAATTATTTAAAATGGCTATGCCTAAAATATTCATCATAAATGGTCCTGAAGTGGTCTGTAATACTGGAATATTGTTATTTTATCCAGGTAATAGTTTCTCCCACGTTAGCTTCAACAACTTTTGATCTTGTTTTTTAGTTTGATGCCAATGCTAGCTTTCTGTTCCAAAAAGACTTTGGTTACCAACATCCCCTTTTTCTTTTATATCAGAGCCCTTTGATTTTAACATGGTTCATAACTTGTCTTCTTCACTGCTCCCTGAAGCCATTTCGTGCCCTTTAATAATCAGATTTTGTGAATTAAACAGGGAACGAAATGGTTCAAGTTAACACAAACATGCTTCTTTTCTGGTCTTTTTGTCCGTCAACTCTCTTCTCTTCTCGCTGAGCTTCACAAAACTTAAAAACAAACTCTGAATCTGTGCTTCGTAAGGCTGGGCAGTGGAGAGCTAACAGGCTATGGCTAAAAAAAGGCTAAGGCTAGCCACCAGACTGCCAAAAAAAGGCAAACAGTAAACCAGCTGTCGCTAGCTGACTGATTTAAAAGTCTGCTAGGCTAACTGCTAGCCAGTTAAAAAAAGGTAGCAAAGTGACAGCTAAACACAAAACAAACAGCTGTCTAACAACTAACCGCCGGTCGTTAGCCAGGTAACAGTTAGCCAGCAGACAGGCACTGAGCTAGCGCGGCAACACAGGCTAGCTACACACTGTAAAACAACAGCTAGCTAAGAGAATTAGCCAGCTAACAGGTAGACGGTTCAGTTCGGGTTGCAAGGATTTGACTAATTGTGTCGTCACTTGTCAAAAGAGCCGACAAATTCACACAAATGTTCCCCAAACTGAAACGTAACACTAAATTATTTCATGAAACAAAGATTAGCGAGCTAATCTTGGCTTTTTTTTTTTTTTTTTTGTTTTTTTGCTGCTGTCGCCTTAGTTTTATCAGGATATATCAGACTTATTTGCCACATGAACCCATTTCATGAGCAGTTACCCTACAAATGTCTGCAGATATAACCTTGTAAGACTAAAGGTCGTAAAAAGTTGTTTTTGGTGTCTAATCGATTAATCGACTATCAGCTCAGCGAAATAGATTCTGTGCTAAAAACATAAAAAAAAAAAAGCCTTGTTCCCTCCGTCAGCACCATGTTTTTGATGTGTTTGTGTGTTTGGAGCTACAGAGTGGTGTGTTTCTGATTGTCTGAGCAGCCCCACAATCGTTTCAAACATATGTGGTCACTTTCTGTTCTTGCTGCTCGCAACGTAAAAACGTCGTTGTCTTTTTTTTTTTTCCCAGACAGGACTGAGAATTTGTCTGAACGCACCCCAATTTATCAATAAAGTTTCCTTCAGCTCGGCTTACATCCAGGCCCCGGACTTTCTGCACATTTAAAAAAAAAAACAACAACAACCCCACAACGCGTTTTTTTCCACGACTGTTTGTCCTGAACGCACTCCAACAACGCTGCGAAAACCAGCGTGAAAAAAAACCAAAACGCTCCTCAAAAACTGGACAAACCAGTTTTTATTCAGTTCCAGCTGGTCGCTCGTGAGCACAGCTTACAAACTCCCACCACGGCGGGCGGGGTGCGTTCACTCTCAGCTGACCAGCTTGGGCAGAACCGTCCTAGGCTGGATGTTTCCGTTGGCATCGGTGATCGCTGCCAAGTTAGTCCTGGTTTTGGAGGAGGAGGACGTGGTGGTTGAGGAGGTGGTGGCGAGTTTGGAGATGGAGGTGATGGCGCCGTCGGTGGTGGTGGCGATGCCCCGTTTGGAGGAGGAGGTGGAGGAGGTGGTCTTCTCCGCCGAGGTGGTTCCCGTTGGCGGTTTGGGAAGCCGCCTCCTCAGCCACGGGTGGCGCAGCGCCTGGCTGGGCGTCATCCTGAGCGCAGGGTCCCACTCTAGACACTGTTTGAGGAAGTCCAAGAACAGCGGGTCATCGCAGCCTTTCAGCGCCGCGCTCCAGTCCTTGCTCCCCGGTGGGCCGCGTACCTTCCCTCGTCGCGAGCGGCCGCCGTTCAGCACGGTGGTGCTGTCGGGCAGCGTGGTGACAGTGCAGTACCGCGGGTATCCTTTGGACGACACAAAGTTCTTCGCTCTCTTGGAGGCGTCAAGGAGCTTCTGGCTGGGCATGCCCAGTAGTTCGATGATGCAGGCCAGCTGGTCGGCTTCGTCTTCGCCCGGCAGCAGCGGGTACCCGGTGAGCAGCTCGGCCAGGATGCAGCCCAGAGACCACATGTCGATAGGCATCCCGTACCTGGAGCCTGGAGGGGAGGGCAGAGATTGGCCATCAACATTAACCTGCTAATCAATACTTTCCATTCCCACTGGTAATTTTAACTGTGCCATCATTTATTTACGTTTAGCAGTTTAAGACCTTTTTCCACTTCCATTATCTTTTTTTATCTCTTATCCATCTTCAAAATGTGGTTGTCTTTTAAACATATATTAGCCTAGCATATAGCATATCTAAGTACAGGAAAGGAGGAAGTTGACTGACACTTGTCCATCTGTGATTGGAGAAAAGAACAAAAAGGGGAGGGATTTTAAAAAGTTGTTACATATAATCTATACATAATACAAATATTCTAGAAACTATGTGTGGGCAGTTTATCCAAATAAAATGCTATCGTTTTAATTTATAGTTAGTTATAACACATTGACTATCTTTATTATGTTACATTAGACCTTCTCATTGACTGGGGAACAGATTCATTATTTTATTCTACCAGACTGATTTGAAGTTAGGGATCCTGATAACAAAACTTTGACCAGAACATAAAGTTGAGTACAGGAAGTCTCAGCAAGTTTCACTTTCATGGCTGAAATGAACCGAAACCTGGTGTCAACCAGAGGCAGGTTTCAGTGTTTTCATGCTCGTTCTTCTTACCTAGAATGACCTCTGGCGCTCGGTAGAACCTGGACTGGATGTAGGTGTAAACTCTCTGATGTTCATAACAGCTAGAACCAAAATCTATGACCTTGGAGAGAGACGGAGAGACGAGGATTAAAGAAACCTTCAGTGGACTTGAAATGCTACTTGAAAGCAAACAGCAAAGCTAAGAGTTTCTCACCTTGATGCCGCTGCGTCCCTGCTGCTTCAGTAAAATGTTCTCGGGCTTGAGGTCGCAGTGGATGATGCGGTTCTTGTGCAGCGAGTCCAGACACTGCAGGATGGAGTGGGCGAACTTCCTGACCAGCGGGAGGCTGAAGCCCTGGAACTTGTTCTTCTTGATGAGCTCGTACAAGTTCATGCTGAGCAGCTCGAAGGTCATGCAGATGTGGTTTCGGAAGGTGAAGTTCTCCAGCATGTGGATGACGTTCATGCTCGAGTCCTTGTCCTGCTTCCTCAGGTGCTCCAGGATGCGGATCTCCTCCGCCGCCTGCCGGTGGAAGCGCTTCTCGTTGCGGACCATCTTCAGAGCGACGTGGGTCTGCGACTTGTGGTCGAAGGCCTTCACCACCTGCAAAAGGGAGGAGCAACAAGATGCTGGTGATGATGATGGTTGTTGACTATCAACAGCTGTACGAGAGGAAGAGAGTGGGACGAGATATTGTAGAAAACTCTGTAGAAAATCTTGTTAGCCAACTAGCCAGCTACTGAACTAGGTAGTTACAGCTGATAGCTAATTAGGTTGTTTTATATAATTTCGCAATTTGGAAAATTAATTCAACAGTTTTGCAATTTCAAGACAGATAATCCCAATTTATGGTAAATGGACTTTTCTGCTCAAAGCGCCTTACAACACTTCTCACATCCACCCACACACATTCATACACTGATGGCAGAAGCTACCATGCAAAGTGCCAACTGCTCACCAGGAGCGACACAGCGCTTCCCATCCAAAGCAAAGATAAGAATCTCACCCATACGCACCCACACACCGACTGCCAGACATTTGGGGTTCAGTATCCTGCTCAAGGACACTTCGACTGGACTCGGGGAGCCGATTCCACCCCGATTACTAGACGACCGGTTAATGATTACCTGCAGCTCCAGTTTTCCTCAGCAACGACAGAGAACTTGATCCACGTTCCTAACTCCTTAACAGCTTTAGAACTTTTACTGTTTCTCATTTTGACTGTAAAAGTAGCATCACTGGTCGTACCTGTCCAAAGCTGCCCTTGCCGATGACCTTCAGGACTTCGTAGCGGTAGGAGACGTGGTCGTGTGGAACGTGGATGTAGGATCCCTGATCATCGTCGAAGCCGCCGTTGTTGGCTCCGCCCATGACCCCTGACCTCTTCTTGGCATTCGGACCCACGAAATACACTGAGGAGAAACAAATACACGATCATGATCCGTTTCCTTTAAGCAGGGTTCGGGTCAACAGCTGTAGCCGGGGCAACCACTCACCCTCAGGGTAGCTGAACACCTCGTGGTGCTCGAATGACGACATCTTGGACATGAACTGCTTCATGGCCTGCTCCGGGGTCAAGGAAGTGGGCTTTGGCTTGCCGTCCGCCGTCTTGTTGGAGGCGGCGCTGCCCTGCCGGCAGTGGTGGGCGGGCTCCGAGGCCGAGGTCTGGCGGTCCGGCAGTGGCAGCCCCGACCGGGTGGAGCTGAGCGGAGCCAGGCCGTTGGGTTGGGAGGTGAGGACCGGACGCTTGGTGGTGTTCTCCTCGTACAGCTGGGTGACGTGGACCTGCGACTGCGCTGATAGCTGGACGGCGTCCGACATGGCGGCTTTAGTGCCTCCCTGAGGGGGAAACGCAAAGAGACGTCAGCCAACCTCAGACAATATAAGAGGAGCTATTATTTTTTCAATTAAACTTTGAGGTGCACACAGCTGGACGGAGAACGGAGGATATTTAGGTACTTTTAGCGTGCTATTAGAGTTAAAACACTAATTTCCCGGAGTAAATGGCGGTAAAAAAAAACAAATACGTTTCTCGTACATTAAACACAAATACGTACATCACGACATTAAAAACAGGAGTGTTACCTTAGTTTTAATGCATCTGAGGGGAATTATTGATTATTATTATTGAATTTCCCAACATGAAATCATCAAAATCAGTGTTGAACATCACAAATAACTGACCTAACATGAAGAAAATGATGAAAACAATATAAAAGATGTAACAATAGAACAAAACAAAGAGAGAAAAACCATATTCCATCTTTCATGTCATGTTTATGAAGTCAACTTTTAAGTCAGGGTTTCTGCAGCTCCATAAAAAGTCTGAAATGCAATCAAATGATATTTAAGGCTTTAATTGTCTTAAATGTAAGGTTTCAGTCAGCTTTGCCCTGAAACAGCTGGTAAAACGTCCTTCAGATTAACACCCAGTTGCTGTTCCTGTTCAATGTATTTTAGGTGCCTTTCGTCTCCCTGTAACCTTAAATTGTATAAATAAAACGTAAAAATATACCAGAAATAAAAGAGAAATACTGCAGTAACAATCTGTGGCGAATGATAATCAAACCTCAGGATGACGAACGATTTAATTTCACACTTTTGTTGAAAATCTAACATGAGCCAACTCTCAAATCCTGGATGTTGAAGTGCTCTTGAACACAACACAGTAGATTTTTGCTCTCCACTGTGTCGGAGCCTGGAAGGTAAAAATCTGGATAATTAATGCCCACAAATTAGTAATTTGTTCCCTGAAATGAAGAGCTCATGCAGTTTAATTACCCAACTGTGGCTGACGGACTAACAGAGACACAGCTGTCCTCGCCCGCTCTCTCTCATGTTGTTTCTTTGTCTCTCACTCAGTGAGTCACTCCCTGTCACCGTGGTGACCAGCACACCTGGGTCCTTTCAGATAACAGAGGTGCGCCTGGTTTCAGTGCGGCTCAGTTCAAAGACCGGCTGTTTACCACAAAATAATGTGTGTGTGTGTGTGTGTGTGTGTGTGTGCGCGTGTGCGTGTGTGGCCAATGAGGGATCCGTGGTTTAAAAATAAGGAAGTAAAGGAGTAAAGACGGGAAATCGAAACAATAACACACGTGTGTTGTATGTTGTCAGTAGTTACGCTGACATGTGAGAGCGCAGTGTTTGGCTGTGTTGACTCCCTCACCTGGCGACACCGAGTTCATGCTGTGTGCAAAACAATGAGCAGGCCTGCAACTAATAATTCATTCATCTACCCGTTACTGTCTTAATGAATTGTTTTGACTCTAAAATGGCAAGTTGACGTCTTCAAATTGTTAATAATAGAATCATTTTACTGTTGTAGAAAACAGAGAAAAGCAGAAAATCCTCACATTCAAGAAGCTGGAATAAGATTTTTGGTAACTTCTGTTTCGAAAAATTACACAAACTTAATTTATTGTCAAAATTATCAACTTATCAGCTGTTTCAACTCACGTTTTAATCCAATGTTGATGTAAAGTACAAAAGTATGAAAATGAAAGTCAATTGAATTAAGTAAATTGATATATTCACATTTAATATGAACATTTCTGACTTCCCAAATCATTTCACAGGACCTTTCCAGGACCTTTTCCAGGAGTTTTTCTTGAATTTACAGTTTTCTTTTCAACTGTAATTTGCCAACAGCTCTGGTTAAAAGACATTTTTCCAGGACAACGTAGATCATCTCCAGGATATTTGGTAATTATAATCAATTTCCAGGTGCCTCCATGTCTGGACAAACTGGTCTCTAAATGTCTAGGTTTTCCAGGAGGCATGGGAAGCCTGTAAGAGATACCGAGTCCTGGAAGTTAATATTATAACTCATAAAAGCCTCCATGATAATGTGTTACAGGAAACCCTGCTAGTGCTGATAGTCAAGGACGGTAGGTAAGGTAATGGAGTAAATAAATGCTGCATCAGCTCCTTCATACCATTAGTCCTCTGTGTGTGTGTGTGTGTGTGTGTGTGTGTGTGTGTGTGTGTGTGTGTGTGTGTGTGCCCTTCACACCAGCCTATAAACCAATCAGCTGTTTAAAGCATCCCAGAGCAGAGGGCTATTATTAGCCGGGTGGCTACAGCTGACCGTTCCAGAGAACTGCTGCTCAGGCTGATTGCTTCACAGAGCGATCAGCCAGCTCACCGTGACTCGCTAGTCAGACGGCAACCTTCAACAACCAGCATGACTCTGATACAGCGGCAAAGGTTGGCTGCTTCACATTTTATACCCAAACAATGCCAAAAAGAGCTAAAATAAAAAGGGCTCGCCTGTCCTCCTCCCTCTGCTGCTGTCTGTTTATTCACTGTCTGCAGGTACAGGAGTATCTTTGTTTAGTTTTAGGTTTCAATAATCTTTCCTTCTTGTTCCAGCATCCAGAAAATGTGATAAGAGTGTGTGTAGGAGCTGAGACCTGCCCTCGGCGAGGCAGAGGAGAGGACAGAGAAGGTAGCGCGACCACAGAGCTGCAGGATTCATTTCTACATGTCATGTTTAAGGTGGCGGGCTCAGGCGTGCATGAGCTCTGAAAATGTAACGGGTTCCTCCTCGGCCCCATGCTCCACCCTCACATCAAGTTTCATAAAAATCAGGCCAGTAATGTTTCAAACATCCTGCTGAGAAACAAACACACGGCAGTGAAAACCTCCTCGGCTGAGGTGAGAAGTGACGACTAACGGAAGTGAACAAGACAAACAAAACAAACAAACAAACTCCAAACACAGCAACTGTAAATAAAACCACATGTTGAATCTTTACACGTACTACAGGGAGTCTTTAACTGCTTATGAAACAGTCTCAGTTTAATACTGATGCCTCTGTATGACCTACATAATCTTAATGCCTGCCACCGGGTCGGATTCCCCTCTAACTCAATGAAATCAGGCGTTAGAAACACTACCGCGTTTGTCCACAGGGGCCGCCAGATGTACGCAGAGGACTGACAGCCGAAACGTAAAACAAACACAAACACTCGTTTATATCCGCTGCACAAAGCAACCGGACGTGTGGGTTGATTATAAATAACTTTACTGATGTTTATCAGCTAATACGCCACTTCTGATGAATCCTTACAGTCCACAAACAAATGCAACGAGGAAACGTTTCTATACTTGTTGTTGATTTTACACTTTCTCAATGTCAAATCAAGAACTTAAACCAATGAAGTTAGAAGAGTTTCTTGATTTAGATCAGTGATTGTTTAAAGAGGAAGTAAACACGACTACAGCGAGTGAACGATTAAAGTCCACATTACTTCATCCACATAATATGATGGGCTGGGGTTATAAACGCACCAACAACACACAGCTCATGGCGGTACAGTAAAAAGAAAGCAGGGTTGCCCCAGTCTCTTTACAGGAGGTTTAACACAGGACAGCACGGTAGGTTAGATACTGACACATTTAACGATGCAGGTTCAGTGTTTATGAGACACTATTCTCCACTGAATTCACTACAGTTTACATCCTCGAACAGTAACCCATAAGAAACAGTTCAAATTAAGTAGAATTTACTTTATTTTACATTACATTCATCTTCCCACCTATTGGCGTACTAAAATAAGAAGCAGAAAGTGTTTGTTGCACATTTCTGAGTGTATTTTTTAACCACAACAAGATATTTTTCACTGGGCTCTCTGCTCGCGGCTCCAGAGAAAATAAACTCGATGCCAAAAAGATCGTTTCAAGTTTCTCCAAACTGCAGGTTCTCCCACCAACTGTCGAGTTTCAAACTAATATAAGAATGGGATAAAATTAAATTAAAGTTTTCCAGGACAACATTGATTATTTCCAGGATATTTTAATCAATTTCCAGGTTTGAGAAGCGCGTGGAAACCCCGAGAGAGGTGTGTGTGTGTGTGTGTGTGCGTTCGTACCGTCAGGGGGTTGTGGTGGTTGTTGTTGCGAAGCCGCGGCAAGGCGACAGGCGACGTCGTCTGAGAGCCACTGTGACCAGGAGAGTAGACCGGCTCGCCCACTTTGCCTGAAAATAACCACACAGAGAAAGAGAGAGAGAGAGACAGAGGGTTAGGTTTCATCTGCTGGATTTTCTGATAATACAAATTCGTTTTACCCGGTTTTTAGCCTAGCTTAGCACAAAGACTGGAAGCAGGGGGAAACTGCTAGCCTAGCTACATCTAAAGCAGAAAGAAATCCTCCCTCCAACAACGTCTGTCTGATTCACACGCTGTACCTGTAGGAGACATTGTGCCTTCTAGCAGCCGTTAGCTTTGCAGCCATTTGTTGACTCGCAGCTGTGGTGTGTGTGTGAGTGTGTGTGTGTGTGTGGGGGGGGTGCCGGTGCCAGGTCTGAGCTCTGACTAATTAGCGATGGAAGCAGACTACCTGACAAAGTATCAACCTTTCCAAGTACAAGATGTGTCGATGCCACCCTTCCACATACCGAATATCACATGACACGCCACAAAAACAGCTCGTTACGTAACGCACATCTCAGGGACACGCTCGTCAATCTCCGAAAACGTTCTAAAGAATCCCTCCAACCCCCCCGGTGGGTTATCTGAGTGGAGGAGACGTTGGCAGTCGAGTGTTTTCACTCAGTCAGGGTTAGATTAGAGACTGAAGAACATATACATACAGTACACAGACAGACAGACTGACAGGGAGGCCTTTATTGCCCTCTATATATATATATATATATATATATATATAATTTAACATTAACTGATCCAAAGCACCTCCTCTTCTCTTAAATACACCCGTCACAGCTAATCATGAACTCAGACACCCGCTGCCTTCACGTCTGCTGCCAGTTACCTTCATTTATCCAGCAGCTACCTCCTGTGTATGTGAATGAGGCAGCAGACAGGGTTGGACTTCTTATAAGAAGAAGAACTTATTTTATTTGGCCTATTAAAAGAAGAGGTAGCAAGTTAAAGTGTCTGTTGCACATACAATTAACAATTATCACCCACAACAACAAACAACAGCAGGCTGTTTGCATGAAGATCTGAGCGCAGTTCTAAAATAGATTTGATACCAAACAGCTCTTTTTCATTCCTGCTCTCAGGAGCTTCTGTCTGCGGATTATCCAACCAGATACAGTAAAACAGTCCAGGATATTTGGAATCTGGATCCATATCTGATCAGCACTGTCTGGTGCGTTGAGCTGGACGGACTCACTGACAATGACTCACTGAGTGTATCTGAACTGAAGTGAACTGAAAGCAGAAGCAGGAAGTCAACTGTATGGCGTGCGTTGGATGATGGCCAGCCTCGAACCGGACTGACCCGGGCCAAAGTGATCCAGCCTCGTCTGGAGGATGAAGGTTTTAATATAGCCTATTAATCCTCAATACATCTCTCTACCTCACCTCGTCCCTCTCCCTCCCTCTCTGCAGCTTCACCTGCGCTGACAGCGGCATCAACACAGCGGGGTCAAAGGTCAGAGGGCACAGGAGTTAAGAGCGATAATAAGTGCTGTACTTTGACCGACTCTTTCCCTCCACCGTTCTTATCTGCCACGTTCTGGTCTGTCACAACTCAACTCAATCAGGTTCTTCATCATTCATTCATTCATCTTCGTCATCGCAGTCAGCTTCTCCCGGTTAGGATTCCTTCAGTGTTCATGGTTCAAAAAACAAACAGACCCGCTGATTAAAACCACTAAACACACTGAATAAAGCAGTTCCACCTTAACAATCACTGCTTCTCCCACGCTGTTGGACAGACAAAGGACGTCCCGGAGGGGCTGCGAGCCGAGCTGCTGCTAACGTTAGCTCAGCTTGTTTCTCTGATAACTTAAGATCCAGACGTCCGATGACTAAAATCCTTCATCCGGTTCAAATCTAGAGTTAAAAAGCACCAAGATCTAAACAGTGGATGGTAACAATGTGGCTTCACACTGGATCAACAGTCAATGTATGACAGCTTCTGGCAGACAACCACAACGCTGACGCAGGCACAAAGGGGATATGACGCCATCGACAGGCGACCGGTGAAACGCAGCGTTACCTGAATAAAACGACAGATTTCTCTGGTTGAACTTGTGTTAGTTGATGCCATCAGAAGTTCCTGGAGTGACGGTAGAAATGTAGTTAAAAGTGTTAAAGCGTGTTGAGTTTTTGCTTGAAAGATCAGTTGATTAATTGATTAACCAATCGATCGTTAAAGCTCTGGCTCGCTGCTCTGAGTATCTGGACGTGATGTAACTGTGTAGTCAGGGACAGACGGGTAACGGATATCAGAGCGATGGCTCCAGACCCTCACAGGCCACCGTCCAGCTCTCAGCAGCTTCCTGTGTTCGTGCAGGTCCGAGCAGACAGATGGTCTCAGCTGCTGCTCTCTGCCTCTAATCTGAACGCTCAGTGTAATCCTGCTAATGAGGACGGCTCGCAGAGACAGACCACGTTCAGCAGCTCCACACATCCACATCGCAGAACGGCCGCCGCCCTGGAAACGCTACACGACAAAGTACACGCATGATGTGCAGCCTCACCGATACTGCGGTCGATATCAACTGCAGACGCAGCACGAAGACGCTGCAGCCTCTAATGCATCTTCACTGTGATCCTGCTAATGACTGAGGCTGGGACAGACAATCAATAGATCCTGATAGCGTTATCAATAAAACAAGCACTTAAATCTATTCGGTTGGGATGTGGAGGCAGAGGAGTTCTCTTACTGTCCTAAAGACTACTGCAGATCCACTGATGGAACCGATCAGGCTATTAGTTGATTAATACTTTAATAACTGCTTCAGATGGAAGTTTTTACTGTTAGTTAATCTTTGACTACTGACCTATTGATACCTTTACCAGGTAAAAAAAAAGTCTGCATCATGTTATCACAAACATATCAGCTCTTGGCAAATATAAAAAGTTTTATAGGCTGCAAGCTTAATATATTTTTAACTATATTAATATAGTTAGTTATAATAGTTTCATATCTTCACCTTTAATATTGTTAAATATCTTTCCTCTGACCAATATATATCCCAACAAACTTAAAAAGGTACCTTAGAAACATGTTATTTTTGTCAGAAAAACTAAATTTTGCCTGATAAAACATGACTGTGCCGGTAATATGGTAAAGCCTCACTATGACTAGTATCACTCAGGCTCTAATTCAACCGTGGATCTTCCCCGCTGGGCTCTGAGCCCTTCATCAGCTCCACATGACGACGCTGTGCTCGGCCTCTGCGGTACATACTGATAATGTAACAGGGATCTATATACCCGAGAGAACATACAGTATTCCTCGCTGCGCGCCTGACAGATGCATGCTAAGAGAGTGGAAAAGCGGCGTGCTGAATGTGAACTTGACACCGAGCCGGGGATGCCAGAGCGGCAGCGAGCACGCCCGGCATGCTGCTCGACAGGACGAGTGGGAAAATGTGCAGCAACGTGACCGCACACGAGCCGACAGAGGAGGAATAACCGTTCAGAAAGTGACCTGAGGATTACAGGTGTGACGCAAAAAAATGCCCCTTTAAAGACGTGAAAGTATGCAGGATTTTAACTAAGTGCAACATCATGAATGCTTTTGAAGAGACTGTGAAACATCCAATACATCCAGACTGCAAACTAGTTCCTCTGAAGCTCGCTGAGGGCTTAAAAATAGCTTGAATTGGTGGCGAATGTAGTAAGCTCAACAGAAACGGAGGAGCCGCAAACAGCACAGAGGCGTCTGGAGACAAAAAACATCCACTAATGAATTCTCCTTTGACTCAATATTTGTGAAGCTTTCAAAGTCTGAACTTGGCTGCTACTGTTCTTGGCTAAAAGTCTGAGTCTGATTGACGTTTGTAGGTTGTTTTTAGCGCTATTTATTGTCAACATAAAAGTGCACGATGTGTTGGTTTCCACTATGAAACTGGGACAAAACTGAAAACACAGCCTGAAGCTACACAAACTGTCACCACGCGCCCTCGGGGAACGAACACCGACTCGTTCAAACCACTAATTAACCATTATAAAGCCACCGATGTGAGCATGTGTGGTAAGGGATGAACGAGATTGCAGACAGTTGTATGAAAAGCCTTTTACCTGCTGAGAAAGACCTCCAGTGAGCTCCAAACATGACGTTATCAGCCAACATGGAGCTCTTCTTTTATCAAAAATACTCTGATTCATAAATGCTACAATCAGAAGATACAAATAAACTGAACTACAACCATAAAGCTACCTGCAGATCTGTAACAGCAGTCTGTACACGTGGAATTAGAATTAATAATCCCTGAGCTGCATTAATGTTGACATTAATAACAAGCTAGGTGCCTGTGTTTACATTATGTAACCACATTTATCTCTATGTACATAGACAATCCCGAGCAGACACTTGAACCCCGCGAGGCTACCCGAGAATCCTGTGTTTACATCGCGATAATCAGCCTGCAAACTACAATAACACTGGTGTTTCCCAGCAGGCTGATGGGGGGGGGGGGGTACCTCACGTTAGGAAATATTTCTGTCGAAGAGTTTCTGAAGTTCAAAGCTGGAGTTTGTGGCAATCTTTATTTTACCGTTACTACTGTAACTGTTACTTAGTATTGAATTATTGTAGTTGGGTTTTATTTATTATGCTAAGTGTTTTATATTTCTTTAAATAAATTAAATAGACTTTAAAACGGTTAACAGTATATATTGAAGAATTTTAGGCCGTTTTGATTTTGGTGCCATTATCAACACGGGTATCGGAAATGACCCCAAAAAGATACCGTAAAGCTTCCAATAAAAGCAGGGTCCCTAATAGAGGCAGGTCTCTTTTAAAAGCCTGGTGTGGCTACACGTTTTAACAAATAAACACAGGTCTCCAATAGAGGCCTGGTCTGGATTTTAGAGAAATTATCTCGATGTATAAAACCTCTTAAAACCAACCGGGTCGCCTGCTTGAGAAAGTTTTAAGTCGTTTTGATCTCCTACACAAATATAAATGTTTAAACTCGTGTCAATATGTACATAATGAACATCGTTAGATCAGTTATAGATTCTCCACAATTCAATCGTTCACTATATTTTACGAAAACTATCAACAACAAAGTTTAACGTTAATTCATTCTGACTTACTGGTAAACAAGAGAGAGAGAAAACAACCTCTGAAGCATCATAATCAATCATGTTAGTTGTCAAATTTGCTGAACAAAACTCAAAAGAAGCAGCAGTTAGAGTTTAGTTTAGTGCTAAAGGAATTAAAGGCCTGTCCCAAATAGAGGCCTGTCCCAAATAGAGGCAGGGGGAGTTCGGTGATTTAAGCAAATAAACGCCCGGGCTATTATTGCCCCGATGCTAACGCCAACATCTGTAATTTCTTCCCGTTTGTGAACAACAGATTCACTGTGAGGGAGAAACTATTGAACATTAATTAACATCTTAGTATTAATACGAATAATTTAATATGCTCTTATTAAGTATACGGTATTAATGCAAATTTTATAATTAAATATGTTATACATGTTACTGAATGTCTAGGTTTAAAAAAAATAAGTATATTAACTGATTCAGGGATGGGAATTACAAATGACGGTAACCATGGAAACGTTGCATATTTACATTTAAATCACGATTACAACATAAAATAAAATACGCAAACACAATGCTAGAAAGCTCTGGAGAACAAAGTCTTCTAATCAGCAGTTTATAAAGTCGGAGGCTAACGCACAGAGCTACAGCATCCACAACAGCAGCGTTAGGATGTGTTTGTCGAGCTAATTCAATCAGACAACGCGTTTTATTGTTGTGTACTTTGGTACAGACAGCGTGGCTGCGCAATTAATCGAAATATTATCGACATGGCAACATGCAAATTGCATTAGTTGCAGTAAAGCGGCGTTAAGATGAAGGGTTGTAGTGCTGCAGAGACTCCCTGGCCTACAGAGCTACATTAGAAAACACGCTTGTTTGGAAGAAAACGCCCCAAAAATGTTAATTTATGATGCAAAAATGATAAAATATCGCAACATCTGTCAAAATAATCGCAATATGATGCTTTTAACATACTCTGCAGGACCTTATTCTTCAGGTTGTTTGCAGATATTTGATAATAATTCAATGCTAACACTTGAATATAAACTTAAAATGCAGTTTTAAATAGATTAGCAGCTTATAAAAGCTATAAAAAAACAGGCTCAACACAAAGCTTGTGTTTGTCAAAGCTAATTCAATCAGATTGTTGTTGTTGTTGTTGTTGTTGTTGTTGTTTTAGCACCCTCAGATATACAGACGTTTTTAAAAACACCAAAGAGAAACCAACTGACCTCTGACTGAACTGAACCGAGAAGATTTTATTTCTGTCTGCTGAGCTGGAGGCCAAAAATTACCCAGCAACACACACACACACACACACACACACACACACACACACACACACACACACACACACACACACACAAACAGTTAAATGCGATATAAAAACAGGGAGACACACCAGGAAGCCTGTTTGTGCTGTCACTGCTCATCTGTTGAGCTGAACATTAGTTAAAAATAAACCCCACGCGTTGTTCTTCGGGTTGTTTTCGTCTGTTTCCTCCGCGGCTCTCCTCCGCGTTTTAAACACGATTACATTTAATTTAATGAAGCAGAGGAAGAAGAGACAGGGTGTGTTTTTATTGCCAGTTAAGCTAAGCTACAGCTTCCAGCCCTTCTCTCTCTCCTCTTGTGTGTTTTCTGCCGTTTCTGACTCCTTCACGCTGGATTCAACAGCGACAACCACAACCGGGGGATCAGCGGTGTGTCCCCCGCTACACTGGCCGGGCTAGGGCGCCCTGCGGCCGGCTACAGAGGCTGTGCTCACCCGTCGGGAGGACCGAGGTTCCGGGCTTCTTGGTTAACATGGCGGCCGCTCCTCTCCTCTGGACACAGACGGACAGGACGCCTCCTCTTCCTCCATCTGCTGCTGCTGCAGCTCCTCCTCCTCCTCCTCCTCCTCCTCCTCCTCCTCCTCTTTCTTCTTCGGGTTTTTAATCAGGCTCCCAGGAAGTGAGCCGAGCTTAGAGAAGCCAATTTCGCGTTAGTGGTCAAACGGTGTAATTACAGCAATGGCGGCGTATCGTCCCATAAGCTTACATTGTGAAAGAAACGGCTGTTAAACGGGGAATACATTTTTTTTTGAGAGTCACAACCGCCGCGAAATGACTCGTTTCACTATCAGAATTTGATCCATTCAGTCCGATAACATTTTTAAAGTCTAGAAGATTCGCAAATTAAATTATTTATCCCCGTTTAAGTTAACGGAGGGCTAAACCGGAAGCTAGCCGGCTCGGTCAGCGGAAGTGTTTAGTGCGCATGCTCTCTTTTTTGTAGTTTTATTACAGTAACATTATTAAAGTTTAATAAAGGTGTTTTTTTAAACTTTATTTTAAATTTTAAATACCAGGGGACATATAGAAATCCTAAATAAATAAATTATTCATCCTAAAGTTTAGGTTGTTTTCTTATTTTTAATGTATGTTGGATTAAAATGGTTTATAATTTATAATTTAGATTAGTGGATGTGAAAAGGATCAAACTGATAATTTAATAAAAATGGGTTAGCAAATAAAGCCAAACAATACATTCTCATATAAAAGGGTAAAACCAGAAACAATGTGGCTTTTCTTATTGTTTCTGTATATAAAGTATATATGTGTACACTAACTATAGTACAGTACAACTGAAGGAATATTTATGTTTACTTCTTGTTTACTGTGCAAACTACTGTTTCTTCCCTTTTTTGTTTTGTTTTTTTATTGATCAAATTTTAAATGTACAAATATGGCAATACATTGTACAAATAATGTAAATTGTTTATCATTTTGACCCACTATTATTAACAACAATAAACACATACCAATAATAAAAGACAAAGAATATAAAAAAGAACAGAAAAAATACAACTAAAATGAAATAAAATAATAGAATAAATTAAACAATACAAATTAAAGACAAGAAAGAAAAGAAACAAAAAAAAACAGATTTTATGTATATAGTAATTTTTCTAATTATTCGAGAGGTCTTAATGACTTTGTTTGTTAATAATTGAGTCAAAGACAAAAAGTTATTCAACACCAAACAAATATTAGGTGTGGTTTGAAGCCTTATGGATATGATGTTTACCAACCAGACACATAAACCTGAGAGCATCATTAATGGGTTGTGAGTCAGTGTTATTATACGGGTGTCAGAAATAGATTCAATTAGTTTTTTACAGAAACATAATGGAGAATTATTTATTTTAAATATATTTAATAATTTATTACAAGGGTAGTGTCTCTGTCATGTGACGCACACTGGCCCAAAACATACATTTCCCCCATAAGCTTACACACTGAAAGTACATATATATGTTTATATTAATTATTGTTTAGTATGAAAGCTACCGGTCCCTTCTTGAGTCTGTTCAACAAAGAAAAAACAACATTCGGTTCCTCCTTCACACCCACACTCTCACACGGTTCCTCAAATAAACCACTAATAAAAATAATAATGCTAATATTGTCAATAACATTAGCATTCTAATGCTTGAAGCAGCACTGCCGTTGTATTAATTGCACTCTGAACGTACTTTATCACATATATTTTTAAATATATGTCATATTGTTTGTATGTTTTACATGTTCTGTATTAGTTGGTGCAGGTTCGACTGCCTGAGCAACAAGATGTTTTACAGAATGAAACTTTACATTTGAAGCTGCTCTGGTGGATCTGCTGCAGCTCTGTGATCTCCTGATGTATGTGCAGTAAAAAGGGCCGAGGAGTGAGTCCATTTAAACCATTAAACACCACATTTAAAGGACCAGTGTGGAGGATTTAGTGACATCTTGAGGTAAAGTTTGAGATTGCTCCATGGAAGGCGACGTCTGTATATAAACAGCTCATTCCAAGGTAACAAAAACACAATAATTCTTATATTCAGGTGATTATACACTAATGAAAAGTTACCTATGAATATTATATCATATTTCTGCCAATAGATCCTCCTCAATGGTACACACTGGAGCTTTAAAGCAGCATTTTCCAGAGCTTTCAACCCATAAAAAGGCAAGCAAGCATACCTTGAGTTAAGATTTTTGTGAGACTAGCAGCATCATTCAAACTGCAGGAAACCATAACAACAAAAATGCAGCTTCACACAACCACAGACTAAACGGATAAAACCGCCGACACTCACCGTTTGCCAGGAGGAGTTTAAACCACGGAGGATGATGAGGTTCAAGCGCTGCTACGAGTCCCAGAAAACAGAAGCTGATGCTCGAGGTGCAGCAGAGCAGAGTGGTGCTCTTCATCTCTGCCTGGTCCAGCATTTTCCACATGAGGACATCATCACAGTGTGCGATTGTTTATCTGGCTGCTTGGAGACCAACAACATGTTTGGCCTCCACCAGAGACACAGACAAGCCTTCTTCGTGCTGCTTCTGGGCAGTGTTGACAATAAAGTTTGTTCAGTCACCCTGTGTGTGTGTGTGTGTGTGTGTGTGTGTGTGTGTGTGTGTAAGTGTGTGTGGTCTCAGGTTTCACAGCTTTTAGTTAAATTACAGAGAGGATTATGTACGACACACACACGAGAAGAACTAACTCAGCATTAAAAAGCACAGAACATCACCTTATTTTAGGTAAAACAACAAAAAGAAGGTTTTACACTGTAAATCTTTATAGTTTATATCTTAATAAATGAAGTAAGTTTACATAACTTAATCCTCCAAAACGTTTTAAGTATTGATGATTTAATTCCAGGTTGTTCCATTGACTCATTTTCTTTAAATTACAATGTAAGCCCCAAAGCCCCAAAATTACTTTTTAATAATTAATTAATAAAAATGAAATTATTTCTTATCATACGTAAGCTGTTTTGACAGGTAATAATTAGCTTTAGTGGAAGAAAACAATCAATTTAAGTGGTAACATTTAAATAAAGAAGATGCATTTAAGTTTATTCAGATAAATTCTATTCACATATTTTAAATAATAATAATAATATTTTAAGAACAATTAAATTCATTTACTTTAACAATAAATTAGTTGCTTGTATTCAAATCTAATATTTTTTTCATGCTTAAATTAAAAAAAGTTAATAAATGTAAACTGTTTTAAGGTTTCCTCAAACAGTTTGAATTGAGCTAACTCATCAGGTTTTACTGTGTATGTGTTTTGCTCCCAGATAAGATGATGGATCACCAAAATGGGCACGGAGACCCAATAACAGGTCAATTAGGGGCCTGAAAGCTGCAGTAGGTTACTTTAATAAAAATGTTTTGTCATATTTGCTGAACACTTTCACTTTATCCTGACAGTAGAACACGAGACAGATAATCTGTGATGAAATCAGCTTCCACTGGCTCCTCCTGCTTTGAGAGCCTAGGAACGAGACTCAGCTATCAACCATCTTCAAGCCTCCAGCCCAAAGTGTTTTTATATCTTTCTCGGCTCTGATTGGTTGTTTTCGTTCCGGCTGGTGGATTCTTGCTAATGTCCATCAGGAGGACTAGAAGGAACCAGAGGAAGCTGATTTTATCACAGATTATCTGTCTCATGTTCTCATTTATATATATAACAAAAATATATTGTTATATAAGTTACCTACTGCAGCTTTAATATGTTATTATAGTTCATTTCAGTTTAGTTCTTGTTTAGTTATTATTAGTTTTAGATGTTTTTATTATAATATAGGGGGTATTTGTCAGAATAGGTGTCACAATACGAACACACTGACTCACAGTCTCAATAAATATATCCATTAATGCCTCCTCATCAGAGAAGTAACTAAGTACAAATACTCCATATAAATACTTTATGACTGTACTAGGTCGTTTTTCAGGTATCTGTGCTTTATTTGGGTATTTATTTTATTATTATTATTTTAAATTTTCACACAAATATGTGTAAAAATTGTACTTTCTACTTTGAGTAAAGTAAAGTAAACTAAAACTAAAGACATTTCCTGTATATGTTTATGTTATTTTAGTATTTAGTTAACATAAACAACAATATCGTTTCAGTCTAGTTTTTTATTTTTTATTTCAGTTAACTAAAATGTTTTTTCACACCTAGTTTTAGCTCAGTTTTAATGAACTGTATTTACGTTGCTTTGGAGTCACGGTTGATCTAAAACACCAAGCTACGTGGCTCATTGAGGGGTTGGTGTGTCTGCCAGCCAGATAATCTGTCAATGCAGATAACTGCAACTGTACACCCACTTCTTGGAATGGGCAGAGCAGCGTACTTTAATGTCCCGGAGGAGCTTATAGAGTGCTTATAGAGAGTGTAGTCAATAAATTATAAATATAAAAAAGTACAGCAATGAAAAAATAAACATTAAATAGTTTTTGCTCGTTTTTTTTTATTGAAAGAGAGTTGCATAACAAAAAACAACAACAATAAATGTAAAGTTACATCATCGTTACTCGTTATCAAAACCATCCAGAGAAAGTGGTGAAAAATGTGTGTATGTGTAGCAATATGTGTAGTCATATATGGGTTAGCCATATGTCTCACCATGTGTTGTTGTTGTTGTTGTTATTTTTTATTGCTACTGCAGGAAATTCAATGTCCCCTCAGTATGGAAGCTCATTTCTACCAATGTAAGTCATAATAATGAGAAAATTTCTCAAAATAATGACTTAGCATCTCAAAATAATAAGAAAGTGTCTATATTTTGAGAAAGTCTCTCTTTATAATGACTTTTTAAAGAATACTTTTTTTTTTTACCTTAGGGACAAATAAAGTTCTTGAACTTGAACTTAATCACAAAAACATTATGAATCAGAAAAAAATGCATGAAATATTATGGCATTTCTAAAAAAAAATTATTAATGTAATAGATAAATTAAAGACATTTCAGTGGTAGAATAAAATAAAATACCGGTAGTTAATTTAGACTGCCATCAAGCGGTTTACTGAGGTTTTATTGTGAAAGGGACAGCTCACCGGAAGTCGTATCCTCATCGTTTGACTGGCGGCAT